TGATGCTTATACTTTATTAAAAATTTATAACCTTTTTATTAATAAAATTCTTTTGTATTTTAATTTTTAAATCAATAATAACCTTTTGAATAATTTTTTAACTAATTTATAATTATTCATATTGTCTTTTAAATACCATGATAAGTGTTAAATTTGAAAGTGTTTTTTGATTGCAAATATAAATTTATTTGTTAATTATATAATATTTAGTATGATTAAAGATTGTTGTAAAATTTATATGACTATCTTTTGATTGATCTGATCGAATTCGTTATGTTGTATTTTTGACTTTTATTAAATAAAAAATGTGATTAAATATATTGATAAAGTATCAAACATTAATTTTTATAGCACAAATTTTAATAAACATTTTATATCAAGTCCTTTTTTTACCATTTAGTGAAAGAATACTTTAAAAACAATATAATAAAATATTTAAAGCATTAGATTTTGGTATAAAAGACTGTTAAAACCGGTATTAAGTGTAAATTTAATAGAGTTTTATTTACCAAGGGTGTATTAAAAAGGCACATAAAAGGCATACCTTATCAATACGACATGTAAACAAAACAACACTCTATAAATAGAAATATATGACATTAAGGCATTACAATAATAAGTGTGTTAACTACAGTAAATACATTTTTATTTACACTGAGTTACTATTATCAATTTCAATGTACATCTGAGTAGCATACTACATGTATGTTATAAACAGTTTAACAACTAAATTCAAGTATAAACAAAATCAAAAGTAAACGTGAGAATAAAGATAGTTATAAAAATAAATGATTTTTTTAAACATACCATCAAAAACCATTTTACCTCGGAGATGATAACATAGTTGTTGTTTAAATAAATTAAATTCTATTTAAACACAAACAAAAACATCATCGTAACAGACAATTGGAAAAGGAGATATGGGTATTTGGTTTAGCAAATGTGTTATTTATCAGGTTAAAATCTTGTTGTGTTTCTTATTTTATAAAATTTCATTTACTAATCATTAAAAGGTCTGTTAATCAAGGTATGTAATATATTCTGATAAATGATATCTTTATGTATGTATTGGTAATGGTAGTTTGCAATTATAATACTTCATTGTCAAACACAGGAAAGCATTTGTAAATTCTGCTATTAGTGTTAATAGCCAGAGCATCGAAAGTGTGTAGAATAAATACAAATATGTTTTTAAAACACAC